CCCGATCCGGGAGCGGACCAGATGGAATGGTCCGCCGACCTGGGGGTGACGAAGGAGGAGCTTGCAGATGCGGTGCAGCGCCTTAAGGCCCGGGGTAAAAAGGCCCCGGGTCCGGGTGGTGTTCCCAGCAATGGCCTGGTCTTGGCCCAGAGCGTCCTCGGCGAGAGGATGGCGAGGCTATTCAGCGAATGTCTCAGGCAGGAGATGTTTCCCACCCCCTGGAAGATGGGGCGGATGGTCCTGTTAAAGAAGGACGGACGACCCGCGGAGTCTCCCTCCGCGTACCGGGCCATCTTACTCATGGATGAGGTGGGGAGGCTCTCCGAGAAGGTGATAGCTTACCTCCTCTCCAGCCACCTGTCGCGACGGGGTCCCGATTTGGCCAAGTGCCAGTTTAACTTCAGGCGGAGCCGACCCACGGTGGACGCGATCCACTGGGTTCGTGCCCTGTCAGACTCGGCCATCTCCAGGGGCGGGGTCTAACGACACCGTCAATGCTTTCAACACCGTCCCCTGGGGGACCATAAGGGCGGCGCTTGTTACTAAGCGGGCGCCGCCTTATCTGAGGAAGGTAATCGGGAGCTACCTGAGCGACAGGTGAATGGAGTTCCAGAGCCGGTACGGAGTAATCTGGAGGGAGATGAGTCGCGGCGCCCCGCAGGGGTCGGTTTTGGGACCACTGCTCTAGGACGTTGGATATGACTTCGCTCTGCGGGCCAACCTGCCCGGCGGTGTAGCGCTGACGTGTTACGCGGATGACACGTTCGTGCTCGCCGCCGGGCGGGAAGTAGGCAGGACCATCCGCCTCGCTGAGGCGGGGGTGGCATCCGTCGTCACGTCGATCCGGGGACTGGGGCTTAACGTCGCCTGCAGCAAAACCGAGGCCCTGTGGTTCTACAACGGGCCTCGGGGCTGGGAGCCGCCCCAGTCTTGGTTGCGCGTGTGTGAGTGTCGTCGGTCCGGACGGAGGTACGATGAAGTATCTCGGCCTCCACCTGGACAGCCGCTGGTGCTTCGAAGAACACTTCGACCAAATTCTCCCCCGAGCGGAGAGGGCGGCGGCAGCATTGGACCACCTCCTTCCAAATCTCGTGGGACCTAGCGAGTGGGTTCGCCGCCTCTACAAGGGAGTCGTGCGGAGTATGAGTATGTATGGCTCACCCGTGTGGGCGGGCGACCTGGTGGCCAGTCGGCGTGGTTTAACTAAATTGCGCCGACTTCAAAGGGTCATGGCTATCAGGATCGCCCGCGGGTACCGCACGATCTCCTACGAGGCGGTGATGACGCTGGCGAGTCTCACCCTGTTCGAGCTCCTGGCGGAGAGAGACACCCAAGTGTATGGGCGTCTTCGCGAACTCCGCCGGGGCGGGGCGATCCCGTCGGCGTCAGAGGTCGAAGTGATGAGGCGCCAGTCCCAACAAGGCGTGCTGGCCAAGTGGAAGGAGCACTTGGAAGGAAAGGGAGGCCAGCGCGCCGTAGGGGCGGTTAACCCCAGTTTCGACGAGTGGGTGAACCGCGGCAGGGGGCGGCTCACGTATCGCGTGACCCAAGTATTCTCCGGATACGGATGCTTCGGACACCTGCACCGGATCGGCAAAGAGGTGACAGATGGATGCCATCATTGTGAGGGAGGACACCGGGGCTCGGCGCAACGCATCCTCGCGGAGTGTTCCGCGTGGGAGTAGGAGCGCCGGGTCTTGGTGTCGGAGTTCGGCCAGGATCTCTCGCCGCCGACCCTAGTCAGGGCCATAGTGGCGAGCGAGAGGTCCTGGGAGGCGCGGCCTCCTTCTACGAGCACGTGATGCTGCAGAAGGAGCCCGCCGAGAGAGACAGGAAGGTAAATTCTCCCTCGAGGAAGATCGGGGAGGCGAGTGCCTCGTCCTCCGGACTAGGAGCACAACGGGCCGCGAGGGGTCAGGCGGGGGCCCGACCCCTCCCAAGGCGACTCCCCAGGTACGGGGCAGCGCCGCTGAGCCTATGGGCGGAGTATTGGGGAAGGGGTGATAGTGTAATCACGTCTTCCCCCGATGTCGGGGTGCAAGCCAAGGTGCGGGGAGAGCTGCGGAAGTCATACAAAGTTCCCGCGGCTCTCCCCAGCGTGCCCGACGAGGACCACCGCGGAGGTTTTAATGGGTAAGAATTCCACATTACCCCGCCTCCCTCCCCCGGGGGAGGCGGAGTGTCTTTTGAAGATTTCCTCCGCGTTAAAAAAATAAAAAAGGTCATGGTTTTAGAACGTGCCGCGTTCATGCGAAATGTGCATGGTGCTCCCGTCGACACGTAGTTATTATGTGTCCAGAAATGGTAAAGCGGGAAAGTGAACCTAAAAATACTGAAACTGTAAAAAATAAATGTAGTTTAGCTAGTCTTTGTAGCGATCCGGAAGTTTTTATGCAAATACTAAACGTTAAATTGCGAAAAGGAAATAATGAGACTGTTGTTCGCGTAATTATTGACACCGGATCACAGAAATCGTACATCACGGAAGATGCAGCGGCCCTGGTGGGATATGAACCAGCTGCTGAACGACAAATGACGCACTCCTTCGGTGGACAAAAATCAGGTACACTGAACCACAAAGAATATGTGGTGCACTTAAGAAGCTTGGACGATGGCTACGCGTGTAATTTATCCGCGCTGGGACAAACGGTTATTTGTGGGGAGATTTCATCGATCAAGAGTGTAATATGGCTTGAAGAGTTACAGAAATTAAATATCAAAATTATGGATGTGAACAATGGCGTTCTGTCGGTTTCGATTCTCATAGAAGCCGGCATTGCCGGTAAATTATTAACCGGCCGAAGACAGATATTAGAGTGCGGATTAGTGGCTGTAGAAACCCTGTTAGGATGGACTCTCATGGGCGCAGTGCCCGTAATTGAAAAGCGTGAAGACGTAACTTTGATCGCGATTTCCATGTTTGTAAGAAGCAACAATTTGAAGATTTATGGACATTAGATGGTTCAGGTATTAAAGACTATCGAAACTAAAACACAGAAGGAGCACGAAGAGAAAGTAAGGAAGGATTTCTTAAAAACAGTAAAGTTGAATAAAGAAGGTCGTTATGAGGTGCGACTGCCATGGTTAGAAAATCATACTGTTTTGAATAACAATAAAGATATGGCTATTCGTCGCCTTCAATCGACTGTCAAGAAATTACAAACGAAAGGTCTCTACGCGGAGTACAATTCAATTTTCGAAAGTTCGCTTGCAGAGGGCATCGTTGAGCGCGTCCCGGAGAAGGAAGCGAATAATTGGGCTCACTATTTGCCATATCGTCACGACATCAAGGAAAATAGTACTACAAGGATAAGACCAGTGTTCGACGCTTCAGTCAAGGAGCGCCAGTTTCCATCCTTGAATGAATGTTTGGGAAAGGGTGCAAATCTCATCAAACTTGTGACTTCCGTCTTATAGCGCTGGTCGAATCTTTAGATAATTCAAATGCCAGATTCTCCAAACAGAAAATTTTAAAACTATTAAAAGGTTTTTATGTAGACAACTGTGTTACTAGTGTAAATTCCGTAGAACAGTTTGTTAACGCAGCTTCCCGCGCTTCGTAGTATTAGGAGGTCGGGTTGGTGTTGGTGATTATTGCACGTATGTGCCAACTGGTTGATGTTGCGAGGTGATCGCACTTTATTTTTAATATCGACTATCGCGGACTGGACCGCATTTGGTATTTAACAATATCGAATATCGCGGACGAGGCCGCGCTCAAGATAATGTCGAATGCTCACTTAGAATAGAAGTTCTCTTTCTTTGTGGGCGATTTTGCTGGGAGGAGGGAGATGATAAGTACTGTGGATGCGGATCCGTGGGGAAGGCTTTTAAATTGGTTATGGAGAAATTGGTGGAAAAGGAGAGGAGAAATCTGGAGGAGGAAGAAAAATTTTTTCATAAATTGTTCCTGGATGGCCCACTACTTCGAAAAATGGGCAAAGAAGAGAAGGAGAGAATTAGACAAGAAGGGAAAGAAGAAAGGAAGGTGAAAGAGTGGGAAGTGAGGATGGCGTTAAAAAAGATGAACATTGGAAAGGCACCCAGCCCAGATTGGAGTACCAGCGGAGGTTCTGAAGAGGATTGGAAATGTGAGACCAGAGGTATTTATAAAGATTTTGAATGTATGTATGGAAAACTTAAAATTCCTGGGCCCTTGGAAAAAAGGCAGAATAGTACTTTATTCCTAAAGAGGGAAAAGGAGAGGAGGAGAAGGGGTATAGGCCTATCTGCTTACTAAATACGACGGCAAAGCTCTTTGAGCAGATAACGCGAGGGGGGTAACAGAGCACTTGGATATAACGGGGGGTATAAATCGATGGCAGTTTCGATTCAGGAGAGGGAGATCCACCATCGACACGATTAGAGAAGTCACGGATTTTACCAGAGGAAAAATGGAAAGGGAAAGAAGTGTAGTGGCTACACTGCTCGACATAAGGAATGCCTTCAACGAAGTGAGCTGGACTGCGGTGACGGAGGAGGACGGCAGGGCTGGAGTACCTGGTTACCTCTTGGTCTTAATTTGGAAGTACTTAAAAAATAGGAAAGGATTCTCTGAGTCTGGCACGAAAAGGAAGGTGATTCAGATGACAAGAGGGGTTCCATAGGGGTCGGTGTTGGAGTCACTCCTGTGGAACATCATATGTAACAAGATACTGAACCTAGAAGAAGTTGACTGGAATTCCAGACATAGGGTGATCTGCTATTCCGATGACACTATTATATTAGTGTCGAATAATAGTGTGAAGAGTTTTGGAAAGGATTACACAGAAAGTGTAGGGTTTAGGTCTGTCTTGCGGAAATAAAGACGATGACCATTACGTTCACGAGGAGGAGAAAAGGGCGAAACGGTGAAGTACCTCGAGGTTGTGCTGGATAGGAAGGGTAGGTTTGATGAGCATATTAAAGTCGTGGTGAAAAAGTCGTTAAACACAATAAGGAAAGTAACGAGAATTATGCCAAATCTTGGCGGTCCGAAGTACAACAGACGGAAGCTATTAGCGATGGTCGGCCAATCGGGCAATATTGTACACCGCGCCTGTGTGGGCGGGTGCGAGGAAAGTTAAAAAGCAAGTGCGAATTGTGGAGAAACTAAGAAGGGTATGTGCGGCGTATAGGACGGTGCCTATGGAGGCCGCTGAGGTCATCGTCGGAGTTCTGCCCTTTGACCTTCTGGAGGAAGAAATACGAAAGATGCAAGGAGGTGGGTTCAGAAGGCTGGTATGTTGAGAGAAAGCATAGAAAAAGAGATAAGATGGAAGAATTTTAAGATAGCGTGAGGAAATGGCAGGAGAGGTGGGAAAAAGGAAGCCAGACTAGGAGATGGACGAGGATCCTGATTAACCCTTTGACTACGGCAGACTTTGAGACGCACCAGCCGTACCATACGGTAGGAAATTAGTCGCGACGGACACTGAGAACGATGAAACTTTTCGTTAGGCGTGCATTTCTGAGAAAGTATATTCAAATAATCAAAACACTGAATTCCACTAAATTAAAACATTATTATTTATTTCTTTGTATTCTGCATTCAATTGTTAGTGTACATACTAAAAATTTAACATTAACGGGTGTTTACCCACCCTCAAAATAATAAATGAATTGTTGACTGTTGTGACCGTAGATTTTATATTATAACGTATATACACTACCGGCCATAAGTGTTTACCCACCCTCAAAATAACACAAAAACAAGAGAAATATTAATCAAAAAACAATTTTTTAAATTTATTTTTTAATAGTGCAACATATATCACTAAAAACAATGTTTTTTTCCAATTTTGTTACAAAAATTAACACAATTAATCTAAATTTTAATTTCATCGATATTTCCACCGCGCGCTTTTATTATTGCTTCGCATAATTTCGGCATCCTGTTTTGTGTAGATGTTGGGGCCGCTTTTCATATCTGTCGGTCTAGTTCTTCCCATAAAAGCTCAATGGGATTCAGGTCGGGGCTTTGAGGAGGCCAGGTCATAATTACAATTTTTTTTTCTCGTTCCAATTGTTCTAAGTATCCACGACATAATTTGGAGGTGTGTTTGGGGTCGTTATCTTGTTGGAACACGAAGTTATCTCCGATTAGTCGCGTTCCCGAAGAAAGGGCATTCGTCTCCAAAATTCCTCTGTAGCGTTCTTTATTCAATATGCCATCTATTTTGACCAAGTCGCCCACAGATGTGCTCGCAAAACAACCCCAAACCATAACCGATCCTCCTCCGTGTTTTACCGTGGGTGATATGTAGGATTCAAGGGCTCGTTCTCCTGCCGATCTTCGGACAAACATTCTCCGTTGTGAGCCGAATACCACCAACTTTGACTCGTCGGTTACATACTTTTTTCCAGTCTTCCAATATCCAATCTTTATGCAATCTTGCCCAGGCTAACCATTTTGCTTTATTTTGCTTGCGTAGAAGGGGTTTTCGCATGGCAATTCGTCCATGCAAACCTGCTTTCCGTAAGCGCCTTTTGACTGTTGTCAAACTTACTGGTTCAGGGCGAAATGCATTTATTTCAGCTGTAATTTCCGGTGCCGTTTTTCTTCTATTACGTTTGCTTATTATTGTGATTGCCCGATCTTCTGCTGATGTGGTTATTTTTGGCCGCCCTGATCGCTTTTTGTTGGATAAACTGCCAGTATCTTTATATTTTTTAACATTGTAGTCCACGGTTCTACGGTTTAACTTTAATAGCTTTGCTATTTCTCTGTTACTTTTTCCGGTGCTATGATGGGACACTATTAGAGCACGCGTTTCAATCGATAATTCTTTTCTCCTCGACATTATTTGAAATTTTCGCAAAATTTATTAAGCACTTGAAAATCAACTGTTTACTGTATGAAAGTTTAATGCAGTATGAAATACAGTATGAAATTTGAGAAGAATAAGATGCCCGTATTATCTGCGTTCAAATTCCCTACCGACCGTTTTAAAAATTTCAGAAAAATGGGTTTCTTTACCTGAACTCTAAAATTGTCGTTTTTCATTAAAAACTGTAAACTCATTTACAGTACCTGATTGTGTATGTACAGAATATTTTGGATGGTTTTTATTAGCCTTATATTTAGGACTTAATGATACGGACATTTTCATAACAATAAAATACCTGTCATTTGAATAGTAACGAAATTTGAAGGTGGGTAAACACTTATGGCCGGTAGTGTATCTAATAATCTAGTAAAGTGCGGTACGATTCGAAACATGGATAAATACATAATAACAAAAAATAACTGCAAAATATAAATAAACATATTTAAATAATATATGACTAACGGAATATGTAATTGTTGAATTAGCATTCACTTACGTCTGACTGAAATAAGATCTGCTGGAATTATGATCAATAAAATTTTCCGGGCGCCTTTCGTGGGGGTGGACCAAATTTGGTTAAGCGCCTACAGTACCATAAGAGCAATATTTTTAAGCGCCTTTAGGCGCCTACAGTATCACAAGCGCAAGTTTTCTAAGCGCCTTTAGGCGCCAACAGTAGTCAAAGGGTTAAGGATATTAGGAAATGGATAAGGAGAGAACACGGGGAAGTTACTTATTATTTGACACAATTTCCGGCCGGACACGGGCATTCGATATGTATTTGAAGAAGTTCCATTCCTAGCAATAACACATTTTACTGCGATAATCCGCCAAATCAAGGCTTACCGTTGAGACCCTGAAGTCGCAACATACTGCCCCCCTGGAATTATTAGTTCAATGAATTAAAATTGTGAGAAAGAAAGGGTCTTTGAATTGTGTGTCGAGTAATGTGTGAATAGAATGGTTCTGATCGGTCGGATGCAAGACCGAACATGCCATCCCCTCTTGAATGATCATGTTCAAAATTATGAGCTTCCTACACGATAATGTATGAATATATGTTGTTTGTGTACTTAAAGGGGTATTCTAGTGTTGCGTCGTGCGCTTTGAACAAGCGGTATGCTCGAGAATGGTAGCGCAGGATTGTCGGTGGTTCTTGGTGTGGGTTGGTTGTTGGTGTGAAGTCGTGGTGACTTAGAGTTTGCACGTACTTTAATATGTTGTAAGACAAAGGCTTTATGTTGAAGAGTGACAATTTTATGTGGTGTGTGTTCGTTACGTGCTACTTGTCTATTTTCCCTTTTTGATCTGTCTTTGCCGCGTTGGTGCGCTTATTTATAAATGGGTGTACAGGTACAAGGTGGTGGTTTCCGCCAACGAGGACGGGTCTACCCTCTTGGACGGTCCTCCCTGACCCGCGAGCATGCCGCCCACCCTGGAATTTCCAAGTTGGCAGGGTGGTGGTACGTCGCGATGGCGGGGGAGTAAGGCCCAAGGGTCCCAAGTCCCGCGCGTAACGGGACTTTGGGCGGTCAGGGAGACGCGAAAGGTTTTATGACATGTCAATGTCTATTGAATGTTCACGAGTGGGCACCAGGAAGGTATGTG